AAGCCATGGGTAACTTGAAATAAAACAATTAAGAGTAAACTGTGGGTTTGGAGTGAGCACGACCAGAAGGCATTTAATGATCTCAAGGGTGTTGTGATAAAAGAGCTAGTCCTTGCACTTCGTGATTTTTCCAAGACATCTGAGGTGCACACAGATGCTTAAGACTTTGCCATTGAGGGCGTCTTGATGCAAGAAAAGCACCCAATTCCGTTCGAGAGCCGCAAGATGAATGAAACTAAATGGTGGTACACCGTGCAAGAGAAAGAGATGATTGCCATAGTGCATTACGTACACAGATGGAGACATTACCTACTTGGATCCACCTTCATAGTCAAGACAGACAATGTGGCCACTAACTATTTCCAGTCGCAGAAAAATCTCACTCTTAAGCAAGTTGTATGGCAAGACTTCCTGGCCAAGTTCGACTATGTATTGGAGTACAAGATAGGAAAGGGCAATGTTGTGGCCGATGCTTAATGTAGAAAGCCTAAACTTGATGCCATCACTACAGTCTATTGTGACATCTAAGATACGGTTAAGGATGGCATGCAAGATGACCCATAAGTGAAGCGACTTATGGATTTAGCTGCCCAAGCAAGATAAGACACTTTTGGGTGGACACGGACTATTGCTCACTGGAAACTTTTGAAAGGAGTTGTTTGATATACCTAGCATGGAGTTGCACTTCTCCACTAGTTTCCACCAGCAGACGGATGGCCGAACAGAGCAAGTCAATGCCTTACTAGAGTGCTACTTTAGCACTATGTGAGTGCGCACCAGAAGGACTAAGCAAGGCTCTTAGGCATGGCGCAATTTTCCTACAACCTATAGGGGAGTAATTTCATGAGGCTCACACCCTTTCAGATGGCCACATGCAAGTAGCCTCAAACTCCACATTCGCTACTAGTCGCATTCCAAGGTAAGAGTTTGGGGGCTTACCACTTCGCCAAGGGATGAGAGGAACAACTTGACTCTGCTAAGTCCTACTTGGACAACACAATAAGGAAGATGAAGAAGTTCGCTGACCACAAATGTCGTCCCACAAATTATAAGGTTGGAAACATGGTCTTGGTGATGTTTAATTCAATACACTTCAAGGCACTACTATGCGTACACCAAAACTTGGTGCGTAAGTATAAGGGCTCGTTCTATTTCGTTGATAAGGTGGGCAAGATCTCATATACGGTAGAATTGCCACCTTATTTTAAGATTCATCCAGTCTTTCATGCCGACATCTTCAAGACATATCACGAAGACAAGGTGATCCTTGCTGGAATCAATCAAGTTAGACACCGATTGTCATCATTGACTCGCACGATCGAGAAATCGAGGCTATTATTGACTGTCAAGCCAAGAGGAAGCAAGGACACCAAGCCACTGCCATGCTTCTTATTTATTCGAAGGGACTATCTTCGAAAAAAGCCACATGGGAACAATATAAAGACTTGAGGCAATTCAAAGATAAAATTCGGGAGTTCATGCAGCAACAATACATTGTGGTCTTTGTAACATCAGGTGGGGAAGGGTGACATGACCCGCCACTTTGTCATACCACTTAGGGATAACATTAACAACATAAGTGAGCTAGCCTTAGTCGGAAAAAATTAGAGTCTTAGAGAGGTTTGGAGAAGACTCTAGAATATCCAAGAAGATTTCTTAGAAGGCCTTAGAAAACTCTACACTTGTAGAGAAATCTAAACAAAAGCTTATTTTTAAATATGTAGGGACTTGTATAACAATTTTATTTACATTTTAGCCTCTAAGTGTGTAGCATAAATAGAGGGGCATTCATTTGTAACTTAGCCAAGCAAAAACAAGCAATCTTCCAAAGCCATACAAAAGCCTCCTTATAAATTAATTTGTGTTTTTCTACATTCTTTTAGTGATCTAAGTTTGAAAAAGCTTACTTGAGAATACAAAATCAAGAAAGAATCGTGAGTAAGTTATCGAGTGCCGCACAAAGTGTTTAGTTGATGTCTAAGTCCATAACACTAGATAAAGTGTGTGCGTCCAAACCTGAGACATGAGACATGAGACATGAGACAAATGTGGGTCCTGTTGAGGAAGCATAGTTGTTTAGTAAAAATAAAATAATTATATATTGTTATTGAAAAATCTATACCTATATATAAAGCTAGATTAAAAAAATGTGATGTGGCACCTCTCTTTGGCCAAGGATCCAATTTATCTTTTTTTCTCATTTTTTTGACATTTTATTTATTTATTTATTATTTATTATTATTTTACAAATATGAATGTGGCAATTACTATTCCTTTCATTTATTCATATTCTTTAATATAAATTTTAATTGTCTTTATTTTCACTATTTCCATGACTTTTCATGGTCATAACTCCTAAATTTTATTAATAGTCATGTTCATGTCTTCATTTGGTATTCCCTATTGTAATCTTATAAATAGAGGCATTGTAAATTTTTCTTACAAAAGAAATGATCAAATCTATATAGTATATATATGTGTGTAAAGCTCTCAAATTTGTGGTGAAGGTGATTTGAGATGATTCAGCTAAAAGAAAGGCACAAGTATTCTATACTATTTTTTCTTTTCGATCATAATAATATTATTTTGAGTTTGGTATTTATTTGATTTGATTATAGGTTGCATCTATAGAAAATACAAAGAAAACAGATGGGCTAATGATGAGAAATTGTAAGCAATTCTTCTCAAACTCTCTTTTATATTTATTTCCTTTTTCTTTGTATGTTTGAACTAAAGAAGTTGTACTCCTTGATCATAAGTTTTGATGAGTGATAAATATATGAGTTAATTTTTTTTAAGAATTTCTTTATCTTGCAGTATTTGGAGAATGGAGGGGGGAGGGGGAGATAGGAAAATGAAATTTTATCATATGGGTTAAAAATAAGAAATTGTAAGCAATTCTTCTCAAACTCTCTTTTATATTTATTTCCCTTTTTCTTAGTATGTTGGACTATAGAAGTTATACTCAATTGATCATAAGTTTTGCCAAGTGATAAACATATGAGGTATTCAATTATAATCTTACTTTATTGTTCCAAGTTTTTATTTTTTTAAGAATTTATGTATTTTGCAATATTTGGAGAAGGGAAGGGGAGGATGATAGAAAAGTGAGATTTTATGATAAAATTAAATTCTGAACTTAATTACAATTCACAACTGTAAAAATAATACTGTTTCATTATTTTGCAGGTATAGATAATCTGATATACGGGGTGAAGAAAATGAAATGGTGAAACAATTAATTTAAGATTGAGAGCAAGGAAATGAAAAATATAATAATTTAGTTAAGAATAATATTTTTATTTCTAAATAGTCATTTTGTAATAATAATTTTATTGCCTCTGTGTTACTCTAAATCTCCATAATTTTATATTTTTTTTCTTTTAATTTTGTTAATTGAGAGGTAAATATCTCTCCCATGAGTTGTAGTACTTTAGATTTTCACATATTTTGAATTGTAAATTTATGAAAAAATGATTATTAATTTTATGTGTGATAATTGTTTGAATTTTATCTTCTTTATTTTTATTCCACATAAATACACTGGATATGAATCTAACAAACAAGTGATATGCTCTTTTTTTCTTCCTATTAATCCTTTTCAATTAAATGCATAAAATCTGTAAATATTATAAAGCTAAATATATAGAGAAGTAACGTGCCACCTCTTTATAACTTCGAATTGCATTATTTGTTTTCTCTTCTTGGCATTTTATTCCCCCATTTCATTATATAATAATAATACAATAATCTCTACTTAGTATTATTTTTCTTAATTATTTTAATTAAAAAATTATCTTCATAACTCATATCACTTTTTAAAAATAACTTCTATTATAATAATATTTATTAATTTTGTGACTTCAACTCACATTAACCTCCAATTGCATTATTTGTTTTCTCTTCTTCTAGGCATTTTCTTCTCCAATAATAATAATAATAATAATAATAATAATGATGATGATAATGATAATGATGATAATGATAATGATAATAATGATAATCATGATAATCATGATAATGATAATAATGATGATAATGATAATAATGATAATGATAATAATGATGATAATGATGATAATGATGATAATGATAATAATGATAATGATGATAATAATGATAATAATAATAATAATAATAATAATAATAATAATAATAATAATAATAATAATATCTATTTAGTATTATAATTATTTTAATTAAAAAATCATCTTCATAACTCATATCACCTTTTTAAAATAACTTCTATTATAATAATAATCACTAATTTTGTGGCTTTAACTCACATTTTCATCACTCCTACTCTTAATATTCTTCATTACTCATATGTTTTTTCAAGTTTCTAGCCCTCAAATAATATTTTACTTATAATTTTTGATGCCTTATCATAATTTTCTCATTATGAATTTTTATATGATCTCAAATAAAAATGATATGACACCTCTTATAGTTCAAGAAATTTATTTATAATTTTTCTCTTTTTTTTTTTTTGATATTTTTCTTAATTTTTTTCATGTATGTGCTATATTATTATAAAAACTCAAAACTCACTTCTCAATTCTCTTAAGTATGTAATAAATGTGCCTATGTTAAAGTTGTGAAAAATTAAAGGCGTTACATTGATTATTTTTTTCAGTTTTTTATTAGTAATATTTAATTAATAGACTGTAAATGGTCATCATATACAATATTACAATTTTTCCTATAAAAGAAAGGTCATTCTATAATCTGAAATAATTGTATAAGTAGTTGATTTAATTTACAAAATTAAAATTTATATGTACTAGATGAAAAATTTATATACTTTATTTTCTAAATTCATAAAATATTCTTAAGAAAATTTACTAATAATTTTCGCAAAGTTTACTAGTTCTATTTATAAGGCTTGAAACAATTTGTACCTAGATAATATCCCTGCATTTCTATTTATATGTCGTCATTAATAATAATATTATATGTTTCTTAATACTTGAGAAGGAGTATTGTAAATAGCAATTTTTGTTTTGTTACTGAACTCCCGTCGGTGAGCATGGGCCAAGAAAGCACATTTACAGCTCAAAAAAGAGCCGGAGCACTCCCTACAACCGTCACGGCCAACGGCGGTGTCCGTGGCCGCTCCCCCAACGTATTACCACGCGGCCGTCAGATCGACCGTACCTTCAACAATGTCAAAATCACCATCCTTTGCGGTTTCGTCACTATCCTTGTACTCCGTGGCACCATTGGTATCGGCAACGTTTCATCCTCGGAAGCAGAGGCTGAGAATCAGAATTTAATAGAAGAAACTAATCGGATCCTCTCCGATATCCGTTCCGATAAGGACCCGGATGATCCAGCAGGAGATCAACCTGAGACTTTCATGAGTCTTAATGACACTTACAGTTTAGGGCCCAAAATTGCTAATTGGGATAAAGACCGGAAAATGTGGCTTCAGAAGAATCCAGAATTTCCCAATTTCGTTAATGGTAAGCCTCGGATTTTACTTGTAACTGGGTCTCCTCCAAATCCTTGTGACAATGCAATTGGGGATCATTATCTGTTGAAGGCGATAAAGAACAAGATTGATTATTGTAGGATTCATGGTATTGAAATTTTGTATAATTTAGCTCATTTGGAAAAGGAAATGGCTGGTTACTGGGCCAAACTTCCATTGATTCGTAGGCTAATGTTGTCTCATCCTGAAGTGGAGTGGATTTGGTGGATGGATAGTGATGCTTTGTTTACTGATATGGTTTTTGAGATGCCTTTATCAAAGTATAATCGTCATAATCTTGTTGTTCATGGATACCCAGATTTATTGTTTGATCAAAAATCATGGATTGCATTGAACACAGGTAGTTTTCTTTTTAGGAATTGCCAGTGGTTTCTTGATTTGTTGGATGCTTGGGCCCCAATGGGACCTAAAGGTCCTATTCGCGAGGAAGCTGGCAAGATTTTGACATCTTATTTAAAGGGTAGACCCGCTTTTGAAGCCGATGATCAGTCTGCCCTAATTTACTTGTTGGTATCACAGAAGGATAAATGGATGCCCAAGGTGTTCGTTGAGAATTCATATTATCTACACGGATATTGGGCGGGGCTAGTTGATAGGTACGAAGAGATGATTGAGAAGTACCATCCTGGTTTAGGTGATGAGAGATGGCCATTTGTTACACATTTTGTAGGGTGCAAGCCTTGTGGGAGTTATGGAGATTACCCCGTTGAGAGATGCTTGAAAAGCATGGAGAGGGCTTTCAATTTTGCAGATAATCAAGTGCTTAACTTGTATGGGTTCAAACATAAGGGCTTGTTGAGTCCCAACGTCAAAAGGATTAGGAATGAAACTGATCACCCCCTGCAGTACGTAGATCAGTTAGATGTTCGACATGCAAAGCCCAAGCACACGGGAACTTAGAGCTAGGAGTATACTGTCTTTCGCTGGAAAAAATCTTCAGGTACTAAAGATATTTACTTTGTTTTGTTGGATTTGTAGATTAGATCTTGTTTATTGTGGATGTCTAAACATTAGCTTTACCAGTGTTTACTATGCTGCTTTTGTGGTTACCAACTACCTAAGTATGTATTGATTGATGTCATTCTAGCTGCTACGTACTAGCAGAGGTTTTGGGGAGACTACATCATTCACTTCACCGTGGTTCTTAAGGGAGGAAAGAAAACCGACAACTGAAAAGTTCTAACAGAAGAATATGGTGGAAAAATTAGTAGGTATCCCTTGGAATTAGTCGAGGTGCGCGCACAAGGTGACCTAGATACCATGATTATACAAAATTGGTGGAAAATGATTTTGTATTGGTAGGTTGCATGCTGGCATGCCTTTCAGTCTGTTTTATTTTTATCTTTAGTTCCTTTGTGTTTTATAGCCCGGAGATTAAGAACTTGCAATTTCTTACTAATTCTCTTTGCCATGAGGTGGACGTGCCCCTTTGTTACTGATTAGAAGTATAACTTACCAGGGGATGGAGTGTATGAGGGAAACTGGGAAAACTGATGTCTTATGCTTTTGTTTTGGACCAAGAAACATGGCTTTAAAATGTCTCTTTACTTTGGTAAAACTTTGTTTGTTAAGTCGACTATTAGATTCTGATCCATCCAAAGAAGCTTATTCGGATGTGGGTGAGGTATGAGATAGCCTCATTCAACAGGAAGCTTTGTGCTTTTCTTTGCTCTGGTAAGATTTTTTCATTTATTGAGATAACTTGGCTCTCTTCGGCTTTGTCTGGCCCTTTGCTTCAATTCACCTTATGCTAGTCCCCATGATTTTATGCTGATTGAAGTATTGCCATGGATATTGATAAGAATCGGGTTACTTGAATAAAATCAAGAAAATAGTATGGAAGCTACTTGCTTTGGCCTTCTGTGGGCCCCTCATTTTGGGCTCCATGGGCCCCAATCTTTTTTTCTATTCATTTTGTCCTAATGTATATGACACTTTTGTTTAGTTGATTCCAAAAAAATACTCCCTCTGTCCCATTTTATATGAGGTAGTTTAACTCGGCACGGAGTTAAGAAAAGAAGGAAGAATTTTAAAACTTGTGGTCCAAAATGAATGATAGAAATTTGTGTTGTTGTAAATCATTTCATTAAGGGTAAAATAAACATTTTATAGTTAAATTGTTAGTTAATACATAAATGTGTCATTCTTTTTGGGACTGACTAAAAAGAAAAGTAAATCACATAAATTGGGACAGAGGGAGTAATACATTTCTATATTTAGTAACAATTTAACTTTAAATGCTCATTTTATTCTTAATTAGATGATTTACAGTCATACAAACATCTATGACTTATTTAAGACCACAACTTTGAAAAGTCTTTCTTTCTTAAATTTCGTGTCCGATCAAAATACATCATATAAAGTGGGAGGGAGGGAGTATTAGATTTGGACTTGGGCCATAAAATACGTGTACTTGTGTCGCACTTAGCCCTCTTCTTGGGCTCATTCTTGGACTTGACTTCTACAATAAGCACCTTCTTAATTTCCCATTGAAGTCCGCCAACCTCACATGAAGGAACGCCACCGTGGATGCTATCAGATGCATATTGAATAACCAAACTATGTGTTGATTGAACTATTTATGACATGAATGTGGGGAGATTGCATATGGATTTTAGAAATCAATTCATTCAGTTAGCACATTGGGTTAGTTCAGCGTGTCAACTCTTCATACATGTACATATTCAGTAAAGTATACATATGACCATGATTTGGTTGCAATGATGCAGTTTTAAGACACAATATAACACAGTTGGTGGCAATGATATGATTTTAAATCACTGTAATTTCCATGAAGATTAATGCAAAATGCATCAGTTATTGAAGCTTGTTTGGGCTTGTGTTAGTGTAGAGAAATCCCCTCTATTGCATGTTTGAACAAAGCATTGTGTCTCAGAACCAAGGAACTGATATCATATTAGTATGAACTTTTTCTTCTTAGTCAAAGTATGTTACCTTTTCCTCCAATTTTGGCAGTTTTTCGTGGTCTTGCTTGGGATGTGCTGACAAAAGGATTGATCTGTCTTTGCATTAATCAAAAAAAGAAAAAAAGGAAAATAGGTTTGATATGTCTCGTATGAGAATGGCACTCTTGGAATGAAGTGCTCTTGCTCTTCTGCCTCTCTTTCTGTGATAGCGAAGCATTGCAAGAAGAGGGCAGAATGTCATTTTATTCGATCTCCCAAGGAGTAAGTTTGTTTTACATTTACTTATTTGTTGCAACATTTTAGCTCCTGAGCAAGTTGAGAGAATCTCAGATGAATTAACTGATGCTGCGCAAAACGAACCACTTCGAATCATCAAGGAACCAGCTTCATATCATGATCTCACTTGTATAATCGCAATCGTGATTGCTAGTCTCTTGTTCATTTTTTGGTATATGGTAGTGGACAACAAAATGTTTAGTTTGAACTTGGAAGTATTACCAGCATTAATACATGTTCTTTTATTCTTTTGCCTATTTCCAAAGTTTGGTTAGTTTGGTCCCTTCTTTATCGTATCTCATCCAGGCAGCTTGCATCTACTTGAAGGAAATCCATGAAATAGTGCAGTTTCTCTAAGACATTTGCAGAATATTACTCCCTTCGTTCACTTTTATTTGTCTACTATACTAAAAAATCATTTTCATTTTACTCGTCACTTTTAGCATTTCAATTTTTTTTTCCATGTTTTATCCTCAATATCAATTACTTATTTTTCAAATCAATTCTCAAGATCTAATACTATACATTAATTAATATGGATATTATTGTAAAATATTCATATTAATCATTGTGCTTAATGGGTGTGTAAAGTTCAAATTGGAATCATTGTTTTTTAAGGAGGTGTAAAGTTCAAATTGGAAAAGTAAAATTGATCGGGGATTAGTATCAGTTATAATGCAATTATGCAGCACTTTAGAGGCACATATGTATTCGTGAGAATATGTTCTGCAGTTGTGATTATTTATGCTTTCAACATGCCTCTAAGATTGATTGATGAAGTCCTCAATCTTTATGTGCCAAAATAACTTTTATTTTTAACTCTACATTTTCATAGTTTTTCTCTTTTATTATCACCTCTTAAAATATGGATTTATCTAACGCTTTAATGTGTGGTGTAGCTAGGGATGACTATGGGACAGAGCGGATGCGGGGTAGGGTAGGTTTAAGGCTATGCGGGGTGGGACGGAGCGGGTTTAAGGTTGTGCGGGGCAGGTGGGATACGGGGCGGGTTGAATTGGGTTGTTTTAAAACCAACGCGAGGCTGGGCGGGTTTGCGGGTATATGTGATTTTATGTGGGCTTTAAACTTAATTTTAAATTTGTACCTGTTATAAGAGTGATAGAACATTATTTATTAAGCTATTTTTTAAACCTACTAAAATATTCAAGATAGTAAATTAAAATGGTTCAACAAAAAGTAATTCAATTTCTTACATGTTTCCCAATTGACCTAAAAAAAAAAAAGTCATTATCCTATTAAATTAATAAACTTAATGAAAAAATGAATTTAGTTTTATGAATTTTACCTTTAGTATCAAACTTAACTAGAAAAAGAAAACATTAAAAAAATTATGCGTGGTTGGTTCATGCAGAGCGGGTCTATGTGGGGCGAGCTGAAAATGAATTTTTTTTTATGCGTGGCAGGGCGGGGCAGATTACAAATTTTGCGGGTTAAGCTCAATTCTCCCCGCCTCACCCACACCCCGCACTCCCCCATTGCCATCCCTAGGTGTAGCAGGTTGTTTGCCCATTTCCAAATTACCTCTTTCATTTTATGAGAAAATGGTCAAATGATCCCCCCCCCCCCCCCCACCCACCCAATCTATTTGCCAATGTTCAATTACAAACTAATACATCACGGGGTTCTATTACCCCATGAACCTTTTATTTTCGATTTTTCCTAACCCTTAAATGTTGATCTTTTGTCATTAACAAGATATATACACATGTTTGTATACATTCGCAGGGTGCACTCCCAAAACTTTTATTTTTCTTCTTATTTCAATCCAGTGAACTCACTTCCTTTACTTTTCTCTTTAAGTTAGGATGAAATTTCTAATTTCAAACTAACCAACAATATGTATGATTCAATTGGGTATCAATATTCCTTTTACATCTCAAATGTTCTTGACAAGTAATTTTTTTTTTCTCTTGACAAGTAATTTTTATATATCCAAAAATGGTTATTTTTGTACTTTCACTTTTTTCCATTTCAAAAATTACTTTTTCAAAGAAGCCGTTTTTCTGAGCTTACTCTATTTGTAGAAGAACACATAGTTATAGTGACCCAAGAAGGGGTCTTTTCAAAATTATATATCAAATGTGATGCAATTAATTTTTTTTTCTATTTTTGAGTGAAATTTTGGATCTTGAAACTTGACATCTTTTTGAATCTTGAGGGGTCGGATCTAGTGATGGAGGGGAAAAATATTTTCGTGATTCTTCTTCTCTAAGAGAGGGGGAATATAATGAGTGTACATTCTCTGCAGTTTTATATTTATGAGTTGAAGAGGGAAATAACTTATATTATGGATATCGACATGGAGAAGCAATTTCAAGCCATATAGCAGAATCTCGATACCCAACAATTTTATAATTCTGAGCGAGGGGAGAAAATTTTTGAACCCTAAATTTGAAATAAGAGAAAATTAGAGAGGATTACAAACCTCAACAACTTCAAGCTTTGAAATGTAAGTTACTATTGGAAGCTTTGAAATGGAAGTTACCATTGGAAGCTTTGAAATGGAAGACAACTAAACCCAAGCTTTGAAAATGGTAAAAAAGAGAAACAAGAAGGGAGATTTGTGGGAGAAAATGGCTAAAAAATGCAAGCCACAACTGAAAGCCTTAATTTTAGGTTGATTTAGTCTTACACATGGATTTAAAATGTAGATCATGTGCTTTAGATAAGTCCTTACGCGCCTAAGGGAAGTGTATTCACCCTCTTGGACATATCAGCTTTTCAGGGCTACAAAATATCAAAATAAAATATTCATGGGGTAATAGGACCCCTGTGAAGTATTGATGTGTAATTAAGAATTGACTAATAGATTAGGAGGTCATTTAGTCATTTTCTCTTCCTTTTAGTATTGACACATATAGTTAATTTATTTATTTTTAATTAGGCTTGATGCATAGTTTTCTCTCTGAGGATGTTTGTTTCCAAATTCCCTTTACACACCCGTGGCCATGGAATAACTTTAAACATTAAATATTATAAAAAGTATGTTTAAGACACCATTTTGGCTGGGTGAAAATTGATGAGAAGGGAATAACTTGAAGCATAGATAGTGAGGGTAGAGTGATCATTGTCCTAGCTAGATATTTTGATAAAGTTGTTAAAAGTGGGTTAGAAATGTGTAGTTAGTTACTAGGTATGTATAAGCTCTGGATGGATCACAGTAGACAATAAAACCTTATATACCCTCCGGTAGGGTTAATACTGAGAAGTAGTAAAACAAGTCTTCTACTCTTGAAAGCTTCTCTCACAAGCTTAAGATCATCAAAACATAACTTTCTTCTGAGTCAACTTAGATATGGATAAACTAGATGAGAACCCCTTGATGAACCTTTTGTAATAACCCACCAAACCAAAAAAAATATCCTTATGTCAGTTGGGGATAGGGTCTGGGACAACTCTTTACGACCTTTATTTTCTATGAATCAATTCGGATACCTTTACATGACACAATGTGGCCTAAGAACGTTACAGATTCTAGCTAAAATTCACTCAAGAAAGGATCAATTGTGTATCCAAAGATTCAAGTTGTGACACACCATTACCAAAGATTCTCAAGCTCGCAATACTTGCTTCAAATGCAAGTTCAAGTTCAACAAAAGTATTCGAATGCCCTCACAGAAATGATGATTCCATATTCATGCACAAAGGTTTAATCATATAAAGCTTCGGAATCAAATGCAACGCTCACACTAAAAAAGAAGAACACAATGCATGCTTTCACCCATAGGTTTGCCCATATTTTCCAATCAACATTTGTTTAAACTCACTCAAGATCAAAAAGGTCTTTACAAGGCTTGTAACGGGGCTAAGTGCAAATGTATGGTCATTTAGGCTCAGTGACTTTCATCCTCATGAAATGTGATGCTCACAACACTTCCTTTCCTTTTCCTTCATCATTTTCTTTAGTGCTCATAAGTCATCCTGTTATTCACTTTCCATGGATTGTTCAGGAACCCCATTTCTTTTGTATTTTATTCCCCTTGCACTTCTTGACTTGTCCTTATCCTTTCACCACACCCCCAACTTAGGCTTTTGGCCTAAGGTGCTATTCAATCAACCACAAATCAAGAAGATTATAGGTAGTGGATTAAGAAAGGTCTAATTTCATCAAGTTTCTTCCAAAGAAAGATAAGGCTCAAGGGGTGTTAAAAAGAGGTTCGCACACTTCACAAAGTAGGCCACAAAAGAGGTATATGTCAAATTGGCTCACACTCTTTGAAGTTGCCTAAGATCATATCAAGAGATAGACTTACTTAGTCGACTGGACCAACGGAGCAAATTCTAGGTTTTGTCATGCAAGGTTCACAGTAAGCTCATCACACAAGGCATCGACACTAAAGTCAAACAAGAATCTACACTTTCTCTAGTGTGCAACGTTCATTGCAAGAGAATCGATTTGATACATGGCTAATCACAAGGATATGCAAAAAGTTCACATATTGTCTATGCAATTCATTTGGTCTCATCGTAGCCGTACATTCATGTTTGTTCGATTAAGAGCACTATTTAAGACATCGGTATTGATCAAAACCGAGACTTAAATTTGCTAAAAACAGCCACTATCAAGTACACACAAGAGGTGGCGAAAATTTAAAATTTTTCGAAAAGGTCAAATCATTTACAAATTTAAAATACGAAGCCGCAAGCTCAAACCTTCCACGAAAAATAGTAAAAATACAACATTATGATTCGCAACCCAACAAGAATATAGCTCACACAAAGGTGGGCCACACCCCACCACAATTAAAAACATTTGTCCTCAAATGCAAATAACATAATATCCATAATTTAAATTAAAGAAAGACAGAGAGGGAGGTAAAGAGGGGATCCTGTCTAAGTGGTCGCTCCGTCTGTCTGGGCATCAGTGCCCGATATGTTAGCTTGGACTTGGTTAATAGTCCCCGGAGCTACTTCAGAAGGTTCAGCGGCAACTAACTTGTTAAAATTGTCCAAGTCATGAGCTGCCAAAAAGGAATGTATAGTTGTGTAGAATCCACGAGTCCACGAAGGGACAGTGGGATCTCGGGGGACGGATCTCTTGCTGGAACTAGGCTTTTTGCCCTCACTTCCCGTCTTGGGAGGATTTACTTCATTTGTATCTTTCCTAAAATTTTTTGCTCTTATTTGTCAGGGTGGCATGATTCTCCTTGCAATTTTAGGTCTAGCCATGTCTGCAATCTTCGAGGCATAGTTAGAAAATATCCGACAAACAAAACAAGGACAATCAGCTGTAGG